AATAATCTTATGTTTGCATAGGAAGAATGATAACTAGGCTTATTTTAAATCCAAATTCATCCATTAGTCCTCAAATAGAATAATTATTCAATAATAGTAGTAGTAACAGTAATAAATTGTAATCATTTGAGTGATGATAATTTTTATCATTTAAAATTAATGATCGAAATTCTTTACTTCTATTTAAATAATAAATCATTTTAGGGTAAGGTGAATACCTCGATAGCATCAATTCCTTCCATATTTGGTACAGTTGCAAATGTAAAAGGAATTTCTGAAGATGCCATTACTCATTCGGATACGACAACAAATTCTTCCTGTTCCTCAAGGTAAAATTTATCTTAAAATGTTTAAAAATTTCAAACTCTTTAAAGAATTTTTCATGCTAATTTTCTGATTGAACTTTAGAAATTTTGGAAAGAAAAAAAGTTGATTTATCTACAAAAGAATTGATGGGAATATATTTTGTTAGGAAAAGAAAAAAAGTAATTTTACTTTAAAAATTTTCTTCTATTATTTCAGTCCTCAAAAAGTATCACCAGGTGTTATGCAAGGTAGAATGCAATCACCGGCGCAATTATCTGAAGCGGATCATTTATCAGATGATTTGGAATCATCCGATATTTCCATTCAAAAGGGTTGTGAGCAATGTGAAACCCATCGACAACGGGTTGCCGAATTAGAACAAACATTGGAAGCAAAACGGATCGAACTAAAGAATACCCGTGAATTAATGCGCCGTATCGGTGTAATTGCTGGTTCGTTACTTGAATCATGCACTGATTTCGATAAGCAATGGGTGACACATAGCCGTAAAGTTTACTCACAAATACAATCGGTAATATGCAATATGGAGTAAACATATTTAGCTATCTCTTGTTTTGTTCCATTTTCTCTTTTATTTATCAACTTCAATATTACTTATCAATTTTTTAAATCATTTCAAATTTACATTTAAAATTTTTAATTGATAATTATCAAATTACAATACGGTAATTTATCAATGAAACAATTTTAATTTCATTCATTAAAGGAAAATTTATTTATCATTTAAAAATTTTTTTGCATTTTTCTTTCTTTTTTTTTTCCTTTTTTAATGAAGAAAAGGAAAAGGAAGGGAAAATTGAATAATTGTGATAAGACTGATAAATTTTCAGTAAAATATTGAAATATATCAGTTATCGATCCTTTTCTTGTTCTATTTCCCATTCAGTTCTTTTTATATATATACATATTTATATACATACACATACATACATACATACATACATCCATACATACACACATACATACATACACAGACACATACACACATACATACATACATACATACACATACATACATACATACATACATGCATGCATATGTAATGGTATAATAAGTTATAAAATGGATGAAAAAAAAAAAATACTGTTATGATATGATCAGCTTAAAATGACCATTGTTGACGTCAGGTAAATTTGATAATACATTAACAATACTTCGATGTGATTTTTTACAATTAAAATTTATCAAATATAATAAGAAATAGTGGCATATATTGTCAACAAAATATCATCAAATTGTATAGCGTAAATGAATGGACAAATATTATGAGGAATGTGAGAGAAGGAATATCCCGTGATATCTTAGATATCATTGATCAAACTTTTATACATATCATTATCAATTAATTTCCTATCTAAATACTACAATGAAAACTTATTTATAATTCAATTTTAAATTCATCCAATAATTATAATTTATAAATGGATTAAAGAAAAATTATCATCAAAAGGTGATTGAATGGTGTAGAAAAGGAAATTTTTAATCGTTATTATCAAAGAAATTAAAGCGATGAATTTTTACCTTTCATTTAATTGTTAAGTAAAAAATAAAAAGAATGAAAAAAAAAAAAAGAACGACAAATCTTTTAAACTTTATCATGTCATTCAATTGATTTGATGACATTCCCTTTTTTCATTTTCATAATTCATAATTATCATTTGCTTAAAATATCAACATAAATCATAAATAGAGACAAAATTTAAAATGAAGCCCTATGGATGAGCGTTAAAGCGAAAAATCGGTGATTGGTCAACTGGTCAGATATTGAGTATTTAGTAAAATTCAAAATTCCATAACATCATATAAATATTAGAATTGATTTGATGTTATTTGAAAATCTTTACATAAGGATATCTCGGTACATATTCCCGCTACCATATCATTGCCATGCATTTCATTCTTAATTATAATTTAAAATGCTATTTTGTTGACATTACATGCCATTACATCTTCTTCCTTTTATGATTATTTTATTTATTTATTTATTTTTGATAAATTTGAATATGAAATCATATAAATTATTTCACCATCAATAATGGTCATCATCATAAAATTGACCATATCAATAAATGAATACTGTTTCCATTCATTTCTTATCATTATTATATCATTATGTTTATCATGTACATTAGATTGTTTGTCAATTAGTAGTGTAAGTTATGCATGCTATAATTGTGTGATCAAAATTTCAAGCATTCATGAAAATTCCAAAAATTTCATTAATTAATTTCTTTTATTCAACTTTTTTTTTCCTTAATAATAAAAATTTGAAACTAAAAATGGATTTTAATTATGCGAAAACAGTATGCTATTTGGATAACAAAAAAGAAAAAAAAAATTATAATCATCCTTTTCTTTCCTTTTGTTTTTTTCTTTTTCCTTTTAATTTCTCCTTTCAGGTTTCAGTTCTTCCTTTTTCTTTTCTCTTTCTCTATCTCTTCCCAATTTATTTTTATTTCCCTTTTTTTTTTT